CCACATGGGGAATGATTCCTTAATTACACAAATGTGCAGAATGACTGGTACAACTGATGAATTGCAGCAATCAGGTCCATCCTTATGTTAGCTCTAATGTTTTGATTTAAGTTTCACTAAAAAATGCTGGCTCTGTGTATTGTAAATGTTTTGTTCAGAATATGTCATGTTCAGCACACTTTCCATAATGTAAGGCACAATTACAAGTAGATCCTTCTGGGTTTGTTGGCAAGTCGCTCTTCATCCAGCCCAGGAGCCTCCAACAAGGAGAAGGGAGGGGAGCAAATGACAGCAACAAAAAAAAAGCAGGAATTCCTGGCTATTGCCAAATCCTAGATGTTGCCACCTGAACCCTGAACTCATCCTCATCTGCTTTCTCCAAGAGGCTGGTGTGAGAGTGACTTACGTAAATGGTTACATTTCATTTGGAATAAGAAATAAAAAGGAAAAGAAATATAAGGCACAGAAAATTAGGGTAAAAATTGGACATTATCTCTGCTGATGTGCATTTATAACACTAAAAACAACCAGAAAAAAATTGTGTCCTTCTACCCTTGGTCTGAATTACAGCCTTACCAATTATGGTCAAAAGCAAGATCCTAGGAATGTTTCAGCAGCAAAATCGATGTCAGCACAGGCTATATTTTGTTCTGCCTCTTGCACACAACTGTCAGACAATTGCTGAAATTATCAGTGACTCTAACTGTATTGCAAGCAAGAATAAAACAATGCATTTTGATGGCAACAAGCTGTTACCATCTGAAAATATTTTGGCCAAGAGATGAATGGTGGTTTTGCTTGGGGCAGGGGGGCAGGATCCAGTCTTATGAGACACCCAGGCCTCAGACCCCCGTCCCTTCTGCCACAGCCCAAATCAGCACGCTTGCAGGACAAGCCAACCAAGCCCTTGTAGGGATCCGCCGAGATCTGATGTTGAGCATCACCCCTGCCCTTGGCCCCTGGGTGGTTTGCACGAGCTGCGGCAATGGGCTGTCCCAGACGGTGCCCAGAGCCAAGGCAGCAGCAGCTCCCAGCACTGTCTGTTCTCTGCGGCTCTGGCCGACAGTACGAGCAATGCCCTCAGGATGAGGGAAGCAGTCGTCCTCGCTTCTCAGTGAGGAATCCAGATTGGTACAAGCCAAAAGGGATGCAGCATCAGTGTTGTCAGAGCTCTTTGAAATGGCTGTTGTGTCCCTTAGAGGCGGGGTGCCCTTTTCCCAGTCCTTTCCATTCAAGGTGGTTTGAATAATCCAGTTCTTATCTGGTGCTTTCAGAGAGGCAGACAAGATCATGATGTTGGTATCCTGCGTTTACTGTACCTAATTTGGTGAAAGCATTTTTGTAACTATAGTAAAAATATATATTTCTGATATTTAGCCTTATCCTTGAATGTCAAGAAAACATTTCAAGAACTGTAAAATATTTCAGCTCCTATTTTCATGGGAATCCAATTAAGAAAATCAAATAGCCAGCATATTTGGAGTACACAGAGAATGAGAAAAATGTCAATACAGCCTGAAGATAAACCAGATGTCACTGAAATTAATATCATCTACTTTCCTTGCAGTCCCCGAGGTCACTAGACAAAACCTTGTTTCTGTTATTGTTGTATGCTGTCCCCGAATCACAGAAAGAGAGAATAACTGCCTCTTTCCCACCTCAAAAATGTCCTTAAACCAACACTGGTGATAACTGGACCAAGATGTTCCTACATCCACTGAAAAAGCTCTGAGATGCTGAACAAAACTTACCTGGTCTTTCCAAGGCACTCTTTTTGAATGCAAAAGGCCATGTCCTCAACGAAAAAGCTGCTCTTACCAAGCTACTGAAAAATTCATTTAATTTAGTTTTGGTCCTCAGTGTTAAGAAAATCCTTTCATTTATACCTAAACACTCCTGGCATCTATTTCTCTTCCCTCCACTGTGAATACAATGCAAAGAAGGGCTTTCAGGAATGGGGGGGTGGGGGGTTGGCGTATACTTCTGGACTTGAACCCATGAATTACTCCTGCTCCAACTGCACATGTGGCTCAGCCACACTGGCCAAACAAATGTGCGAAGTGGTGCTGTAATTTATGGAAGTTGGTAACACAATGCATGGGGAAGAAGGGGAGCTACAGTAGATTGGAAAGCACGTCTTGATACTAAACCAGGAGGAAGAAAATGGCTTGGAGGGCATGTTGGAATGGTACAGGTACATTTGGAGAAAATGAAAAGAATGGCTAGGTTTTTGTTCAAGGAGGAGGCTGGTCCCTGGGGAGTGTTGTATGCATAAGCAATGAAACTGAAATTGTTCAGGAAATAAAATGGGGGCAGTTAACAGTCCTTTTCTTGCCTCATCTTCACTTCTAGATGGAGATATTTTCCAATAACTGATTTAATCAGGAGAAACTCTTCCTTCCAGTTGTCTTTACCACTACCTTTGGACTTTCCATACCTTTCTTCTGTACTTCAGGACCCCAATGTCTTTTTCTGTTCTGAGAATAACTTTGTTTTCCTACCCGTATTTCATCCCTTCTGTTTTCTCCCCTCCTGCATCTGAATTCTGATATTCCACAGGTCACTGAAAAAGCATTAATCTCTCTTCCTTTCTGTGAGTAACATCTCTGCCATTACAAATTTTCTATAGTGAAGTTTGTGGCACAAAACTGATGCTGATCATTGAGCATAAGAAAGATGGAGCAATGTTTTGTTGTGTGAGCCAAGAAAGGATTCCAAAAATGTTTTTATCGAAGTTCAAATCTCTGGCAAACAGTGAGGTGCAGCTCCACGTTAAAAGCCTTCTCAGGCACGTGGCTGGTATATTTACAGGACTCTCATCTGAAGGTGATCATGCAAGGAAGACATTCCAATGAGCTTTTTATATGTGTAGCCTTGTGGAGCTGACGTTACCTAAGACATGGCTTTATCAAGCAGCAAAGAGACATAGACTGCTGCAGTATCAGATGTGGGGACATTTCAAGGAGATTGGTGTATGCTTTATAAAACCGAAGGGAAATTTCCTTACCAGAATACAGAATACATATCTCACTCCTTACTTTTTATTCACTTTTATTACTAAATCTTATGTTGTAAACAAGACTGAGAAGCAGTTTTTTACAAGTTGCAAAAGTTGGGACTATAAATATGGTCTTTAGAAATACAGCTCAATATATTGTATGGATAAGCTGGGAATAGGCTTTTTGAAAATCTGTTTTTGATAAAAAGCTCAAAGCTAAATAAGACAAGAACCAGCCATCATATGAATAATAAGTTAGGTGAGGACTACATAGCTGTGAAGCTATGGTGATGAGTGTCCTGTTACCAGGAGTGCATATTGTACTAGCTGTGCTCCTGGAGGCCAAGGGGGGGTCAGTTTCCAAATAGTGCCTGCTGAATTTGTGCCTGGCTGAGGAACAAGGGTTAGATCTCCTGAGGAGCATTGCTTGTCACTGATGTCAAGGGGTTTTTTTGTGTGCATATTGACTTTGGTCCCTATAAAGGTATAAAATGCATGTCTAAATCCAGGTGAATAGTTTGCAGAATGTAGCAGCTCATGTAACACACAACGCAGTTGTCTTGGCTAAAAAGACAAGTACTTTCATTTAAAACAATCAGAGCTGGGCAGAAAATCATTGACTCATCCTACAAGAGCTTTCAAGGTGCCACCCCATCCTGCTTTTGCATCCTGAGGGCAAAGTAAGACCTTTAGAGGGTAAATCCTCCCATAAGCTCAGATTGATACCTTGCTCAAGGCATGGAGATCTGCATGCCCTGGGGAGCCAGCTCAAAGCACAAAGTGCAAAGGCCAACCTGGTAGCTGATTGCTCCACTTTGCCTTATATATGGTGCCTACAGGCTAATTACCCAAATTTCACTAGATCAATGGGCAGTTCCCATCACTGGTGTTTCAGAAGTAGGTCCTCTGTTGGCCTGATGAGGCACTTGTAGCAAGTTCCCTCCCAACTGACTTTGGGAGCTCCTTTTCCAGCTATTCTATGTTGGGTAAAACCTCAGGTGCTCACTGAAACAGAGACATGAGCTGGGATCTGCCACATATCAGACAAGACCTCTGGTAGTTGAAGAGTTGATCATTTGAACTAGTATAAAAATCTGTCTATAGGCCAAGCCTTGCCTGACACTCTTCCACTTACATAAATTCATCCACCAAACTGTTTTTCCCTTTCTTTCACCTCAGAAGTTTATCCCCTCATCCACAGAAATTATACACAAACCAAGCTCTTCCCTTGTCTATACGGAGCTTGGCACAATGAGAACATGATCTCTGAACAACGTTTTGAAGTGGTGTGTGCTCTGACCGTTTGAATACTTAAATTCTGTTTATTAGTCATAAAGAAGAGAGACTGTGGGATACATGTGGTGGGGTAATTTATCTCTAAAGTAGCCAAACTGGTGCTCTGCAAGAGCACAGAGATCTACGCCATGGCAAGGAGAACATGAACCCTGTATTCTAGCACACTCTCCGGTGAACAAAGGACTAAGGCAAACCTAAGTCTGTTTGGAGCACTCATGCATTTAGCAGCAGTAACTACAGCAACTAGTTCATAAATTTTTCACAAAAGAAAAGAAAGTATTGCAGGACCCTTCTGTACCTGTTTGGAGGAAAATAAAACTCTGAAATTTGACCTCCCTTAATAATTTTTCTGACAAAGACTTAATTTCTCTACCTCTTTAGGGAAGGACAAGCTCTACGCCACCAGCTAGATGTTAGGACAGGGTTGAATACAAAACCAGAACTGTTGTTTTTTTTCTTTTTTTTCATTTCTAGATTCTAGATTTAGTAACTCAGATCTCTAGCAAGCAGCTGAATTACACCAATGATTCCTGGATCAGGATGAGGCAAGAAGACAAATACCAAACTCGGTTCAAATTTTAGCTTTATATGTGGGTTCGATCTGACTGAAACAGTCCTCATACTCACTTGTGTCTGGAATTTGTTTCTTCAGCTCAGCAGATGAACATTTTCATTGACAACATAAACGCAGCCACAACTCATTTACCTGTGAGGTCGTCGTTGGGCCAGGAGCCGAGCTGGCAGGCTTTGCATGTGTATTCATCAAATACATATTCGTTCTCTTTACAAGGAGTGCAGGTCCAACAGCAGCTCACTTCTCCTTTACGGATCACCTGAGACAAAAATTGACATTTGGCTTAGCTGCACAAACGTACATTCATGCTGCCCCAGTTGCTAATTTAATTTTTTAATCTCTTTTTTTTGAAGATTTTTGTAAATTTTATTTTAAAAGGAGTTCCTTTTCATGATATGACACAAATTCTCAGTTGTCCCATCACGTATATACCAGAAAAAAGAAACCATCAGCCCCACAGAAGTGTAAGTGGAAGTACAGGATCACAATAAGAATCTTTTTTCTCTCTTAGAATTAGCAAAACTCAAAATTTCATGGATGGCAATGTGCCTACGGAAGTCAGTACATGACACTCAAGGCATATAATCCACTCCATGGTGGTCCACACAGGGAATCATGTCAACAGTGTTATTTCCCTAAGGGTTCATTACCTGAAGATTTTTGGGTGTTTATTTTTCATGCAATTGTGAGTGATTTGTTAAAACTAATTTTTTTCCAGACATCAAACTGAACATGCCTTTTCAGAATTATTTAATTACTGCATTTCTAATTGACATTTAAAAGTGAGAATGTTATCTTTATCCATTTTAACATCTGACCTGATTTCTCATTTTATAATTTACTGCCAAATATTATTGCATGCTCATGACTGAGATGCAGATTTTTCAAGATCCTTATTTAACATCTCTGGGTACTGAAAACATCTGTGCTTCTTTCCATATGTCTTTCTTATGAAATAAGGTATTCCCAGTTTCTCTGCTCTTCCCAAATAATTTATAAACGAACACTCCCAATTATAGCATAAGAAGTAGGTTGACTTGTGTATCTTTTGCAATGATGAACTTAGAAGATGGCTTCAAAATCAAATGTATTTATTGTGATTTTAATATATGAAATGTAAAGGAGTATAATAAAAAAGAACTGGATTGCTCTTTGGCAATGCTGTAGAGAAAAAATTGTAAATTATATCATTTTCATCAGCAATATGGGGACTTGAAAACTTCAGTTTTTCATTTTGTTTTTAAAATTATAGAGTATGAAAAGAAAAAAAGCCAGACCTGAATACCTAAATTGGCAGAAAGGCCATGGGAGCTTAAGTGATCTGCTCCGCAAGTGCTAAGACCAGAGCTACTTGCAAAGCAGAATATCTGTCCTCCAGAAGAATTCACATCTTGGGATTTCTTTCATTTTGAACTAGAATGAAAAGTTGAACAAATGACAAAATTTCTTGTGTCTGGGAAAAACGATTCTTAGAAAGCCTGTACTAATTTTCAGACACATATTTTGGTGAATTTGATGCATTGTAAAAATCTGTAATTTTACAATCTATAAAATACTCAGGAAAATAAAATAGCCATATGTCCTTATCAAAACACCTAAATTTTTTATCAAAACAATTAATTTACACTTTTTTTGTTAAACTTTTCACCAAATCAACATCTTCTATAAAATACTTGGAATTTGACAAACCTGTCAGAAAACTGATACACTGATCATTTCTTACCCAGCACTACCTGGGGGTTAATCCAGAGAAGTATTATGCATCCTTTTCTAGGAAACAAAATAATTGTTCTCCACTACTCAGAATCAGGTCAGATGTTTTTGTATTAAATTTCTTAGTCAGTGATTTCTTCATCCTTTTATTCTTCATTTCTTGAACAACGCTTTATTGTAGCATTTAACTGTAAACCAATCTTTTCTGTCCTTTTTAACAAAAATAATTCTCTTTAAAAAAAAGATTATTTTCCTTCAGGAGCAGACGGCTCCAGCGTGGGTCCCCATGGGGTCACCAGCCCTGCCAGCAAACCTGCTCCTCTCCCCACGGGGCCACAGGTCCTGCCAGGAGCCTGCTCCAGCGTGGGCTTCCCACAGGGTCACAGCCTCCTTTGGGCACATCCCCCTGCTCCGGCGTGGGGTCCTCCCCGGGCTGCAGGTGGGGATCTGCTCCCCCGTGGGCCTCCCTGGGCTGCAGGGGCACAGCCTGCCCCACCAAAAAAAGGGGAATCTCGGCTCCGGCGCCTGGAGCCCCTCCTGCCCTCCTGCTGCCCTTGCCTGGGGGGCTGCAGGGCTGGTCCCCTCACACCCTCTCACTCCTCTCTCTGGATGCTGTTGTGCAGGGTTTTTTAATTTTTTTCCCCCCTTTTCTTAACTATGTTATCCCAGAGGTGCTACCACTGTCACTGATGGGCTCAGCCTTGGTGAGCGGTGGGTCTGTCTTTGAGCCAGCTGGCATTGGCTCTGTTGGACATGGGGGAAGCTTCTGGCAGCTTCTCGCAGAAGCCATCCCTGTAGCACCCCCCACTACCAAAACCTTGCCATGCAAACCCAATACATCCGTCCTTTCACATATGTGACTCTCTGGCTGGAGCAGGCTAACAGCAGACCCCTGTTTAGTTATTGTGGGAGTAACTCATGCCACCTTCCTTCAGGTGTCTGCAAAAGGTATGTTCTCATCTGCACCAGCTGTCCTGGCTGGGTGCCTTTTGCCATCAGTGAAGAGAAAGAAGTGTTTCTACACCAAGACTCACCTTAACTGTTTTCAAAGCCTACATGAGGACGACATGGCTCCTGATCTGGAATAATATATTTCCATTGACTATAAAGAAAGTTCAGAAATCTGATATAACTGTATATGCCTACACTGAAGACATATACATTTGGTCTGATGGAACTCGCTTACTGACTCTTCCAAAGACCGGTTAGTAAATAAAACATGATGACTGTGTCTTAAAATTCTAGAAAACTCAAGACCGAAGAGATTAACTTTGTGTTGCAGGTCATGGTCAGCCTCCCATCAGCCCCCCACTATAGCTGCTTCCCAGTTTGACAGGCATGCCCTGTTAACACAGGAGAAAAGTGATGCAGCTTCCAGTGAGGCATGTCAGAAATTACAGCTGCTTTTTCAGTCTGAGCCACTCTGTTGTCCATGCCCATCACCTCAGGCCACAGCCTTTTATGTAAATGACTGCAAGGTAATCTAAGGACTCGCAGTATTGCAACTGTTCTGCCGTGTCATGGGATGCTGAAGGACAATAGAGTACAATTAATATAAGACAGCTTCATCTACCCTCCTTCCTTGCAACATGGAAACTATGCAACATGGAAAGGGGGGAAGAAAAAAATCAAAACCCTGGGAAACAAAGGAGCAGTAACACAGATATGGTTAAAAAAGAAGTTACCTACATTTCCTGAATTTCTAAGTAGTGGTAGCTATCGATGTTCTCCAATGATACCACAGATTTAAGGTCTAAATAATCATGTTCCAGTCCAGGTGTCTAGCAGTGAAATAGTAGCAATTATTATTTATAATTTACCTGCAATTGTACTGACAAGTCCCAGTCAGGGATTTGCATTCCACTGCATCAGATATTGTAAAAATAGGCAGTAAAAAACCAATACTTGCTCTAAAGCATTTGGAATACAGGTATAAAAAAGTCTGCAGTTCACAGATACAGGAGTACAAGAAAATGGCAAGATATGAAAATAATGAGATGACTATGATATGAGTAAGAACTAAATACATAAGTCTGTACATTTTAATTAAGGTGTGCATTACTGTCTCCATGTCAGAGTCGAGAAAAACTCGCTTTCAAATTTCAAGGCTATGCATTCTACAGGACTGAAGTAAATGGAGAAAATATTTACCTTTATTTGGCCTTTTTCGCAGGGTTCACTGCACACAGATCTGATGATATTATTTTTCTCTGACCATATTTCATCATCATCCATTTTCAGCTCCCCATTGTCCCAGCTGCCAACATTGATATAATCAAAGTAGTCCTTCCCCATTTTCTTAAAATTCATGATTTCATATCTTTGGAAACACAAAGGGAGACATAGCTGAGTTGAGGACAACATCATAAAACGTTTCAAATTAAAGGAACACTATACAGTCAAAATCAAGCTTGTTGAAATAAAGAAGGCAAAATTACAAGCATTATGCTTGCCCTTGAGTGTCTCAGAATGAATTTTGTGATACCATAATCTTTCTTTTCCTTTGTATTTTAATTTGTTTTATTCTACCACCATGGAAATTCTCTGAACACTTTGGGCTTAAGTGACTGAGCTTCTGAGAATGACTGTATTCATTTGAGGAAAACAATTAAATGAGCCAGACAGGATTCATCCTGTGTAACTTCAGCATTGAAGCCAACTGCAGTGGGAACCCTAATTGTCCTAGGGTCCCTCTATAGCAGATGCAGAAAAATCTAAACCTATAATGGAAATTCCCAACAGAAAGTGCTCCTCACTGTCTGCAGGTGCTTATTCCCCTCCTGAGAGAGGAAGCCTGAAGACAGACGAGCTCCTAAAGTGAGGTAGAAGCAGCCTGGGCCTGTGGGGTCAAAAGAAACTTCATGTCCTGTAGGTCTGCAAGATGCAATTTGGTGTGGCTCCCAGATAGGAACTGGGCATAATTCTTCAGGCACAGACTCCTGGATTCTGGGACTTGTTGGAGGCTTCAGGGAGATCTTATCAAGAGTCGCCTTGTAGTCCAGGCATTTGGAGAAAGAAGTTGAGACTGCCTTTTTTTTCTTTTTTCCCTTTTCTTCTTCTTCAGCATTGCAGCAGCAAATGTTATTCTCTCCCATCCATTCAACCCCCCTCATTTTTATGTAACTCCTCAGTGATCAGACCACATTTAATACCTTGTATAGTAAGGTATGAAAGAGAAAGAGCCTCAGTCCTAGGCTGCTTTTGGGTCAGATCACCCCAGTGTCTGGGAACAGAAGTGTTAAGAGCAGAGCTAGAGCTGATCAGAGTTTTCAGGTTCCTGTTCCTCTTCCTCCTACATTCTTTTTTTTTTTTAGCTCCCACAATGTCTTACAGAAAGTCTGTGGAGCAGCGTAGGACTCATTAGCCTCCTACTGGCATGCTGAATATCAGGCTACCTTTCTACCTTATAGGCCAGTTCTTTTAGCACTTATTTGTAAGGCATGCTTGAAAGTTGGGCAGCTCCTGCAGTGATGATGTCATGCTTTTCTTTACCTCCTCTTTAGTGGATTTCGCAGTAATCTGTCTAAGCAACATGTAAGCCACTGATGGAAAATAAGTAAATTATATAGACTGAGAAGATTAACACAATCATAGAAAACCTGTCTGGTTCATAAATGAGGAGACAACTTTTTCCTGGCAGCAGGCACAAAATTAGTCCCTGAGGCAAAGAATATGGACAGGGTTGGATTAAGACTAATGTTGTCACAGTGTTATTTGTGAAGTCCAATGTATAGGTAAATAAATGAAGCAGCTCATTAAATCAGTCTCTTAACTAAGATACCCAAGTATCTCTCTTAAGTTTTGAGAAAACACTTTTAAGATTGACAAGCAGTAGCCATACTATATATAACATCGATATTTTTCCCATGCTGACATAAAAAACCAAACCCAGTAAAACTGTTCTATAATATCCTCCGTCCATGGACCTCAGGATGCTTTGCATCAGGAAACAGTCTAACTGTCGCAGTGGGGAAACTACTACCATGCCAAATTCACACACAGGTCAGGATCGGGACTGCAAGCAACCTGTGAAAGAAAATAAAAGTGGAGCCTGACTGGATGGGCAATATGCTGTTACCCTTATCATATGAGTCTTGAGTCTTTGCAAAAGAAGAAGCTTCAGGAGTCAGTGGTTCCCTGGAGCTTCCTTGAGATACTACAGGGACGGTTTTTCGCTTTAGGATAGGAGAGACCAGATGGTGCAATAGCACATTTCCAGCAGTGCCCTAATCACAGTGCAAAATGCTTGTTTCAAAACAGAAGCGCCATGAAGTTGCTGACAACCCATGTACTATCGGTAGCACAGCCAAAACATCAGCATCTTGTTTTTCTAGACTTTTCTTCCCTTCTCAATTTCTTCTTTGGAGTTTCGATAGAATTTACAGATAGTTATTATCTTCCTGAGAAATCATGGCTGTTCCTTCCATACTAATTTGGTTTTTTCCATGTCTTCTGTCTCACCTAAAACAAGCCCTCCACTAGGCTGTCTGTCTGCTTGGAGCTCAGCATACACATAAAGGACTTTGGAATAGGGCCAGGATTCAAAGCATCTTGTGGGATTAATCATCTGTTGTATAATATCAAAACCTTTTTGCTATACACCAAAATCCTGAGCTATCTAGGTCAGAAAGGCTTTTTATGTTCTGCTTTCCTGCTTAACACCACCACCACAGTACAGCTGTGAGGATTTAAATTTCTGTTTTACAAAGCGAAGATGCAGCTATTGACCCAAGTGAACGGGGGAGATGAGTTGTTCCAGTACGACTGCATCATCTCCCAGCTGTTGCAAATAGTGTTTGACAGTGCTCAAAAGACTATAAACTATTCAGAACCTGGGTGTTAGAGATGGAGCTTCCTATAAAGCCTTCTTAATCATGAAAAAGTAAATTTTGACTCAATGTTGGCTAATTTAAACCCACAGACTGGATTTAATGATGTGACTATTGCGAAGAGAAGAGGGAACAGAGAACTGTGTTTCAGAAGTAAACAAATTCTGGGACCATTTTGCCACCACACTCAGTCCATTAGTTTGAGGAGACAGAGCACTACTGTATCTCACACAAATCCAGTGAGGCTGGACTTTCTTCACGTTGTCTTATCCTGAGGTGCACAGTGAACACGGCGTCCCCGTACTCTTCAGTGAAACACTAACGTCCTACTGTGACTGAGCAAGTGACTGCACACGATACAATTCCTTCATCAGCTTTCAAGTGAAATTAAAAAGGCCCAAGACATTCAAACTCCTTGCAACAAACGGAATTAAATCATTATTGTTAAGCAGGCCAACACGAGGAAAGGGTAAAGCTAAAGGTCTCTTTGCAACATTTAGATATTGTCATTGGTGTTGTCACGCCACATATCATTTTTTTGTGGCGGTTTTCAGTTTTTCTTCAACAAATGAGTGAAACTGAGAGGAATAAGGTAGGATACAGTCAATTGCATCTGAGCACCATTAAAACCAAACAGGAATCCTTTAAGAGAAGTCTGGGACAAGTCTTTTAAAAAGAATTTGGTGAGAGAAATCCAGACTGAGCACTTTTCTTCAGAATTCAGCTATTTGTAAAAACAGAAATGTTTAGCGGAAGACAGCCTTGCTCACCAAAACAGTGCTGAAAATAAATTTCCATCTGAATTTTTCCTGGGTTTCTTCCAGTTTGTGTCTGAGTTTTCCTACCAGCTCACAGTGCACTTCCTTAGAGTCTGAGTCTGAAGAGTTTGAAAATGCGTGTCTCCAGAGACACAGACTGCTATGTAGGTGGCTGTCCTGCTCTCTTTTGAGGAGAATGCTGACTTGAGAAATTTTCAAGTTTTCAAGTTCATTTCTGAAATTGCAGAAATTTTTGGAAATCTCAAAATATTCTGACCAATGGATTTCCCTTTTCCTACCCATCTCTACTTGGAAATTGATGCTTTCCTTTCAGTTTGCATTGTGGGAGAAGGCAAAATTTAAATGATTGTACAGGATGAACAATTTTCCCTCTAGTAATCTGTTTAATACGGTGCCGTCACAAAGATGTTTAAAAACTCCCCAATAATGTAGACATAAAGGGCTGCCTCAGTCAAACCAAAGCAAAAGCAGTGAATGAGGCCGGAATGTACCCACTGAAATATAGGGAAAAAATATAATTTGAATGCTATCACTGTTG